CTAAGTCAGTCATTGATTTCCATCCCATCTCATTCCACCTTAGCAGGGCCTGAATCAAGCAGATGGGTTGAGCCAGGGCAGGAAAGGCTGGTGAGGCCTTGGTCAAAGCCATGGGATTACAGCCAGCTAACTGAGGACTGCCCCATTTCCAGAGAGAAGCCCCGCCCCGCCCCCCTGCCCTGGGTGTGGTGTCCCAGAGAGTGGTGTCACTTGTCATCCTCCGGAGTTCCTTGCTTGCTTCCCAGCTCTGCACTGTGAAGCCTGTATTACAGACCAACTGGCCCCTGCCCGCCCCATCTCATTCTCCTCCAGATCACAGGGTCCAGGTCTGAGTCTGCTCAGCTGGCATGGTTCTCACCCTGGGCAGGAGGACGGGGAAGATGTTTCCTTAAAGCCACTTTGGTTGCTGGACTGGGACTCTGGCTTTCTTCTCTCTCTCCATCCCTCCCTTCCTCCTTCCCCCACCTTCACTTTCTGAAGGCCTACTGTGCAGCAGGCTGTGTGCTGGGGACATTGGAATCTGGGATTACGAGCAAAACCACACTAGGCTGACACTGCAGGGGAAAGATAGTCAGCTAAACAAACACAAGAAATAAGAAACAAAAATCAAGGCAGCCCTAGCTGGCTTTGCTCAGTGGATAGAGCGTCGGCAGCGTAGGCCTGTGGACTGAAGGGTCTCGGGTTCCATTCTGGTGAAGGGCACATGCCTGGGTTGTGGGCTTGATCCCCAATAGGGGGAATGCAGGAGGCAGCCAACCAATGATTATCTCTCATCATTGATATTTCTCTCTCTCTCTCCCTTCTTCTCTGAAATAAAAAAAAATTTTTTTTTTTAAATCAGGGCAGATCCGGTGACAGAGACCCAAGAACGTCATGGCTGGTTAAGACTAGGGCTGGAAGGAAGCTGGGGAGAAAGAGTGAGGGCTTGGCCAACCTGTCCTGTCTTTTGCTGGATGGTAGGGGATGGGATCTCAAGAAGCCAGCAGTTAGTACAGGGCAGGATATTCAGCTGGGCCTTGGAGAGCTGGTGGCTGGGGCTGGGAAGGCCAAGGCAGACAAGGGGAGGTGTTTGTGTTTTCTCTGGCCCCTTAACCTCCATCTACTGCTGTCTGAGCATGGGCCCCATCTTCTGCTTCTCTCTGCTTACCCATCAGTAAGCATTGTCCCTGAGTGGGCACCCAGGGTGGGCCTTAGCCACACAGTCTGCATCACGCTGGGGCTTAGTGTCCAGAGCTTAGAGTCACCTAGTTCCAAGCTCCATGGTGAGATAGTCGGGCTGGGCCAGCTTGGCTCAAGTGTCCACGCCTGGCCCAGTGGGCTGTGGCCAGGGGCAGGGCACACACCCGCTGCCCACTCAGTGACAGTAGTGAGAGCAGCCTCTCTGAAAGGGTGTGGCCAGGGCAGGCGAACTTCCAGAAACTTCCATATGGACAGTGGGCATGGGTAGCCTGTGGAATAGGAGGGGAGGTGAGAATGAGCAGACCAAACTGGAGCAGCACCCAGTCTCCTTTCTCTGCTCCTACAGTTGTGCTGGTCCTGGTGTTTGGCATCTGCTGGGCCCCGTTCCATATCGAACGTCTCATGTGGAGCTTTGTGTCCCCCTCGACCGAGTGCCTGCTCGTGGCCCACCAGTATGTACACGTCATCTCTGGCGTCTTCTTCTATCTCGGCTCTGCTGCCAACCCCGTGCTCTACAGCCTCATGTCCACCCGCTTCCAGGACACCTTCCGGGAAGCCCTGTGCTTGGGAACCCAGTGCCGTGGCCACAGACGACGTCACAGCTCCCACAGCCTCAGCAGGGTGACCACGGGCAGCACCCTGTGTGACATGGGCTCCCTGGGCAGCAGGGCCTACCCTCTGGCTGAGAACTATGACCCAGAGGGACAGCAAGAGACTGACCCCTCCCTCCATAGAGGAGACTCACAGCAGCTCCACCTGGAGGCACCAGAGGGCCACTTGTAGCCACACCTGCCCTCCTCTTCGGTGATGTCTTCATGCCTGTCCCCTTTATGCCCTGTTCCCCCTGCAGCCACCTTAGTGACTCCTGCTCCCACCATGTACTAGAAGGGATATACGATCACCCTCTAGGCCCCTAGGCCTCCAGTTAAAGTCCTTTCCTGCAGGAACATCATAGTCGGTTAACTGGCACAGCACACCTTCTTTTGGGGACATCCCCACTCCTGCCACAGTTTCCAAAATGTTTTCCCAAGGCTCTGCCTTCCCTCCCATTTTCTGTCCCTTTCTAGCTCATGGCCTGCACCTGGGACCCTCCTCCTACCTGACCCCTCCCTGGCCCGGTCAGCTTATTCTGCTCTGGGATCTCCACTGGTGGAACTGTTGGGTGGCAGGGATGCCAGGGATCCAGGGGACCTGCTCCCAATCTTAGCCCTGTTGCCACCTTGCTGTGTGGCATCAAGCATATCAGCTCACCTTCCCAGGCCTTGATCCCCTGCTTGCAAAATGAAACGGGCCCCGATATTCTAAGTGCCACACTTTGACTCTTTAGCTGCACTTTCTGCGAGTGTGCGTAAGTCACTGCTGTAATGAAACCCACTGATACCCTCAGATTACCAAGAAGGAAATTACTGTCTACGCACTCACCACCCCAACCCCTCTCCCTCCCTGACCTCCATACGCACCACCTCCCATGCCCTCCTTCTGGTTGCACAACAATGTGAACATGCTCAAACAATATTCAACTGTATGCTTCAGGGGTGGGCAAACTTTTTGACTCGAGGGCCACAATGGGTTCTTACCGGACCGGAGAGCCGGAACAAAAGCATGGATGGAGTGTTTGTGTGAACTAATATAAATTCAAAGTAAACATCATTACATAAAAGGGTACGGTCTTTTTTTTTTTTTTTTAGTTTTATTCATTTCAAATGGTCCGGATCCGGCCCGCACGCCGTAGTTTGCCCACGGCTGGCTTAAATGGTTAAGATGATAAATTTTGTTGTGTATTTACCAGTTTTTTTAAATCTAAGATAAGCAGAAATTGTCATTTATTTTTTTAAAGCCCCACACAACAGTCTGTAATACTTAGTAATCATTCGAATTCACTGTTTTTAAAACTCTTTTTTTTTTTTTAAGAAGAAAGATGAGAACAGATTTAAGGCATTTGGTTCTAGAAACAGTTACATTCTTCTGACAGTCTAAACCTCTTCAGCACAGGCCTCACCCTCTTTCAAGTTCCTGCACAGGACAGAGCAGGACAATTGGGGCTGTTTAGGAACAGATGTCAAGGCCAATATCCTGTAGAGCAGCGGTTCTCAACCTGTGGGTTGCGACCCCTTTGGGGGTCGAACAACCCTTTCACAGGGGTCGCCTAAGACTGTCGGAAAACACATAATTACATATTGTTTTTGTGATTAATCACTATGCTTTAATTATGGCCAATTTGTAACAATGAAAATACATCCTGCATATCAGATATTTACAATTCATAACAATAGCAAAATTACAGTCATGAAGTAGCAACGAAAATAATTTTATGGTTGGGGAGTCACCACAACATGAGGAACTGTATTAAAGGGTCACGGCATTGGGAAGGTTGAGAACCACTGCTGTAGAGGTACATAATGAAGTATTTACAGACAAAATGATAGGATGCCTGGGATTCACATTAAAATACTTAAGCAAAAAAGGAGGAGGGGGAAGGGGGGAAAGGAAGAGGTGAGGAGGTAAAAGTGGGGCAGGGAATAGCTGAGAAAAGAATGGCAAAAATATTGAAGTTTTGCCCTGGTTGGTTTGGCTCAGTGGATAGAGCGTTGGCCTGCGGATTGAAGGGTCCAGGGTCACATGCCTGGGTTCCACCCTCAATCCCCAGTAGGAAGCGTGCAGGAGGCAGCCAATCAATTATTCTCTCTCATCATTGATGTTTCTCTCCCTTCCTCTCTGAAATCAATAAAAATATATTTTAAAAAATATTGAAGTTTTGAAGCTGGGTGATGGGTAAAAGAGGATTCATTTTTAATTTCTCTACTTAATGTATGTTTGAAAGTATTCACAAAATGTTTTTAAGTTTGCAATAAAGATTCACCTATTTCTCTCTCCATCAAAGTGACTGCCTTTATTAACAGCTCTCAGCACCTGCAGACGGGGGTTCCCGGCCTGGGGCTAAGGAGGGCCTCCCACTCTCGCGTGCTGACCTTCGGTCTCTAGGGCTCATCAGCAGGGAAAAGTGGCCTCGCTCCCTAGCAGCGGGGGGGCTGGGCGTGGAGCGCGGGACGGGATCCCGAAACGTCCGGGAACCGGAGGGACCAGTACCCACCGCTCCCAAGAACGGCACACGCGGCACCAAAAAATGTCCGTCCCAAGGCGCAGGCTCCGCAAGCACAGGCCGCGGAGGGGCACTTCACTAGCCGTGCGCCCACCGCCCAATCTGCGCTGGCCTCGCACAGAGCGAATCCCTGCTCCCCACCCCTCTTGCTCCGCCCCCCCTCAGGTTTATGCCTGATCCTTAGCCCGGGCCTTAACTGGTAGACTGACATCCCTCTCACAGACCAGGACCACTGTCTCCTACCCGCTCGCCTGCCTGACTGCGGGATTGCCAGAAGTGTGGGCCTCCTGACCTGGATCCCTGTATATGTGAA